GCAGCTCGTTTAGGCGATTTTAATACTATCTTTGCTTTTTATTTTAACGGGAGAAATCCTATCGGATCGTATAACTGAATTCTTTAACGGATCCTACCCCCTATTTCTAAAGTGGGGCCTTTTTTTTAGTGCGCTTTTCAACGGATTATACTACAATCTATCGGAGAATAACTGATAGGGTTAACCTAATCGTACCTCGTACGGTAATACTCCTATATCGCCCTCTTAGTTTATATAATATAGGTATAAGTATCGTACTTTAATTTATTAAAAAAAGGTTTCTTTAGTTTTAAAATTAAGTTAATTACTATAAGTGGAAATATAAAATTTATTAAATTTTATTATTTTCGAAAGACTATTAGTAAATTATTATATTATTGTACGATATCCGGTTTATTTATAATTATAATATCTTTATAGGACGTACGAAGATAGGTAATTACTTTATTTATAAGAATAGTTACTTTATATTTTTTATAAATAAAAATTTAAAAGTAAGAAATATAAATAAAAGGTTTTATTTTAAAATAATATTAATAATAATATAATAGTTACGTACGATATAAAATATTATTAAATTAAAGTTTATTATTAAGTTTTTTTAGTAAAGGATATTTTATAGAAAGTAGAGTGGGTTATATATAAATAAATAAAGGTAGTAATGTACGGTTATCGGGGTTTAAATCCCGTACGATAGTTAAAGTATATTTAAGTACGAAGGTAATAGTATATAGTTAGATCTTCTAAAGTAAGCCTTTTCTTTTAAATCCTTTAATAAGCTAGCTATACAATAAAGCTTTATTATTTTTATTTAGGCGTTTAAGTCCTATACGGTAATTAAGGCTCGCCTAAGTACGAAGGTAGTAACGTGCGGTTACCGGAGTTTAGGTCTTTTAAAGTAAACCTTTTCTTCTAAATCCTTCGACAGGCTAGCTATATAATAAAGCTTTATTATTCCGATCTAGGCGTTTAAGTCCCGTACGGTAGTTAAGGCTCGCCTAAGTACGAAAGTAATAACGTACGGCTATAAGGATCTAAAATTATTTTTTTTAACTACCTCGACTAGCTAACTATATAATAGAGCCTTATTATTCTGATCTAGGCGTTTAGGTCCCGTACGGTAGTTAAGGCTCGCTTAGGTATAAAGGTAGTAACGTACGGCTATAAGGATCTAAAACTATTTTTTTTAATTACCTCGACTACTTATCTATATAATATAGCTTTATTATTCCG